AGCTTACATGTTGAAGGCACCATGTGATGAGGTGGAGTCACAGAAAGAGCAAGCGGATCAGATGTTAGGTTTAGAGGTTGTGGCAGGCAGACTTCAAGATGGTACCCAAGAGTCCGTGCCTGCTAGTATTCACCATCCATCACATTGAGTGTGAACTAAAACTATTGTCTAGAGTCTAAAAATTAGAATATAACAAAAGTGATAAAACATCACTGCAAGGACTCTGATGGAAGAAGACTGTGGTTACATCTTAGTTGGCTCTCTCACTCTCACTTGTGCACTCTGAGGTAAGCCAGCTGCCATGTTTTAGCTGCCCTGTGAAGAGGCCTCAAGGGTGGGGAATTGAGGTCTCTGATAAACAGCCAGAAAGAAGCTGAGTTTTGACAACATCCACTGCAGTGAAGGTAGAAGGGAATGCTCCCTGACTAGGCCTAAAGAAGACTGCAGTCTGTATTGCCAGTATCATCAAGCACAGCTCCCAGCGTCTAAGCCCAGTAAGTAAATGGTTCTTTATCAGCAAAAATCACCAAAGATAAATTTATCAAAGAGAAAAAAGAAAATAAGTTTGCTTGTGGCTTTTCTTTTCTGAACACAGATCATTCCTATTGCTGGAAGCATAAAGAAGTGGGTAAGAGGTCCCTCTGCACCTGAAGAAGACCTGGGCCCCAGTCCTGTCTCCACCTCAGGCTTCTCCCTTCCTCTGCACCCAACAACTGTAGAGCAATGGGAAGCCTCTGAACCACCTGTGTTCCTGTTATCCTACCTCAAAAAAAAAAAAAAAAAAAAAGGATAATATTTAGCCTAACTGAGCAAGTAAGGGAACTGCACAAGATCACCCAGCAAGAATACTTCCTGTCCTAAACTCTGGGTTTTCCTGTGATCTTATTCAAATGGAGTTTTGACAGCTGTATTATAGTGGCTCTCAACTTCTTGTCTCAGTACTTCTTTTCTACAAATCTTAAGATCCTAAAGAGCTTTTATTTATTGTGAGATAGATATAAATGTCAGACTTCATTGTGTTAGAAAATAAAATGGAGAAATTTAAAACATTTCTTTAGTTCATTTAGAAATAATTAAGCCTGTTACATCTTAACACAAAAAATTATTTTATAAAAAATAGTCACATTTTCAAAAAATGAGAAAAGGGGCATCACTTTACTTTTTTTGGCAAATCTCTTTAATATCTAGCTTTATAGAAGATCTCTAGTTTCTCATATCATCCTCCACTTCATTCCATTGCCATATTACATGCCATGTAGCTTCTGAAAACTCTTCTGTATTCTGGTATAAAAATACAATTATTATGAAAATAGTTTTGACTTCAAAGATATTCTGAAAAGGTTTCTGAAACCCACAGGGGTCCCTGGACCACACAGAAAACAGTTTGCTCCATTAATTCTTATTGGAAACGTTAAGATTTCTTCTTAAACCTTCTGCTCACCAACTATTTAAAAAAATTAAAATACAAACACAAATCACACACACACACACACACACACACACACACACACACACACACACACGGCAGTTTCCATACTCTGTTTCCTAAAGTCTTTCTGGTAACTGCAAATCAAAATACTAAGTTTGAGCAGACTCTTTGCAGGAGGATTGTGCCTCAAAGTAGGGTGTCAGCTCATCCCTCTCAAATGGCAACTTCCTGCTTATCTTCTCTCAACCCAATGAAAGTAACAAATGGCTTCTTAAGGGAGTGCACCCAGCTTCTCCAGCCAGATGAAGAACTGAGGAATTCCAAATGTTGCTTGTCATTGAAGGTTGGGCCTGAGAAACAAATGCTTTGAGGAAATCAGCAATGACCAGCACTGCTTCAAAAGCCACAGCTAGCACGTGAACACACACACACACACACACACACACACACACACACACTCAACAGAACAACAGGGACCCACTAAAGTTCCTTCACACAGCCAGTCAGGAAGCAGCCTCAAGGGACAACACAGACCAATTTATCAAAAGCCAAAGTCAAAAAAAAATATCCCCAGGTCTGGTCATAGCAAGTGCATAAGATATGAGTCAGAAAGACACTCAGTTAAGGGGTGTTAGCCCTGGGTCTGTCACCAGCTTGATGTCACCAAAAGCAACTGACTTGTTCTGAAAATGACAGAACGTACAAGATGAGCTCTGAAGATCCTTTCAGCTTTTTTTGTGCTTTCTTTTTCATCACTAACACAGATGAATCAACACATGGATTTACAAACCAAAGATAAGGGTACATCTCTTTTCCCATGTATACCTGAGATATCAAATTCTTTCATTTATTCAGCAGCTGTCAGAACCACAATTTGTTGCAGACATTGTTCTAAAGCAATGAACAAAACAGTGAAGTGTTTCTTGCCCTCACAGATTTATATTCTAGTGACAGAGATAGGCAAATAAAATACATGTCAGTTGGATGTTGGGTGCGACACACACCTGTAATCCCAGCACTGTGAAAGGCTCAGGCAGGAGGATAGCACGTTTGAGCCCAGCCTGAGCAACTCAGCCGTTTTGTAAGCCCATGTCGAGGTAAGATGTTAAAACAGGCCTGCAGATGGAACTCGTGAAAATGCTCTGGACTCAAACCCCAGTGTCCTTCCTCTCCAAATACATGTCAGTAGTGATAAGTGGTAGGGGTATATGGATTGCTAGGTTGAAGGTTATTTGTTTTTTTTTTTTGTTTTTTTTTTTTTTTTTTTTTGGTACCAAGGATTGACCTCATGAACTGGTACTTCCCTGGCAGGTTCTTGTACCGCTGAGTTAAACCCCCGGCCTGATTATTTGTACTTTTGAATAGGCTTGCTAGTGCAGGCAAATCCACAAACCTGGGAATTACATCACTTTGATTGAATTTGGACATCATAAAGTCAGTCAGCATCCCATTCTTTCAGTCAGCTAACATTTACATTGAATGGTAAGATTTTACAATTTTAGGAGTTTGAGGAAATGGCCCCCTTGGCTGGAGATTAGTTTTTACTAAAGCAGTACAAGTTAATGGTCAACCAGAAGGGATCAAAACTAGACAGCCTGAGTTTGCATCCTGACTTACAACTAGGAGATCCCAGGCAACTAAATCTGTTGCTCCTCTCTCTCCCCATCTTCAAAGAGGGAATAACAAAAGTCCTTACTTGTAGGTGTGTTGTCAAATATGAGCTCTAGTCACACTGGACGCTGGGCATAAAACTACTCACAAATGACAGCCATCGAAATAGAAATCAGAAGGGAAATCTGGGCATGGTGGGAGTCCCCAGAATTAAATGGAGGCCAGTGAGTTCAGAGGCTTATTTGGGTCTCACTCAGCGTGGGGAAATTCGACCACAATACACTTTTCCAGTAGATTCTGCTGGACTCTTGAAGGCAAAAGTAAAACTGCTCCCAATGAGGACCTGAATTGCCAATTAGAACTGGCCGCAGAAAGAGTCATCCCAAACAGAAGAAGCTGATTTTATTAGAGAAAAGAGTGGCTTTGCATGAGATAAGGACAGACATCCCTATGTTTACCTGGAGCCCAGTCTTTCCCTCTACCTTGTCAGTACAGTCAAGCCCAACTGGGACAAGAGCATCCTCACTCCTGCCCCCAGAATGTGGCCACCAAATTATTTTAGCCTGTCATTCTTGTTTGCATAAGAATTCTGCTCCATCTGTTAGAAGGAGCAATATCTGTTCATGCTAATCTGATTGCTCCTATAGCTGGTATTAAAAAACATGGAGGTTACCACAAGCTTTGCTCTGACCTTTGATTTTCTAATATCGCATCTGGGGTAAGCACTTCTTTTTAATCTCTACAGACAATAGGCAGAATTTCACCAAGGGGACTGTGACAGAGGCAGAGATCATAGAGCATGTGTCCATGACCCCAGGTTAGATGATTATAATAAAGCTTTTTAGGCACTTCTAATAAAGAATATGCTGAACAGCCTCCAATGTGTGTGTGTGAAAGTCTAATTGCTGTTAACATGTCACTCCCATCACAGCGAAGCAACAATGTACTGACGGCTTGTCAAATCCGGAATTGATTTTGAAATTGCTTTAATGAGGTGTTGAATAAGTTTACAGGGGCCTGGCCATCTGAGAGACCATCAGCCAAGATCACCTGCAGTTGCTTTGTTGACTGTTCATAAATGAGCATGAGGTACACAGAGGGCTGCTGTTTGATTGCAGAGGATTTACAGGCTCTGAGCTGGGATCTCAGTCCTTGTCTCCATCTCTAAAGTCCCTTGCTTTTTAGATTTGTTTTGGGGTCTGCATGAATAAACACGTGCCTCTCTCTGTGTCTGGCTATCTCTCTGTCTGGCTATCTCTCTGTCTGTCTTTCTCTCTGTCTGTCTGTCTTTCTCTCTGTCTGTCTGTCTTTCTCTGTGTGTGTGTGTGTGTATGTGCCCTTTCAGCTTCATTCCTCTGAATAAATATCTCCAACTTAAAGTGGGCTGAGTTTTCACAAAAGCCTAGGGAAAATTACAAGTTCCTTCTTGTTCCTCATTCAATATATGCAGTAAGTGCTCTAAGAGCAATGTATCTTTCAGTTTTGAGCTTTGCCCTATCCACAGTGAAGTAGCTGAATGACTATTATTCAGCCTCCAAAATTACTGCTCCCACTTGGTTTCCCCGAAGGAAGACTAAAAAAAGATTGTCAAAGGCCAGGGACCTTCACAGCCATTCTCAATACACACCCAAGTGAAACCTAACGTGGTAAATGATGTAGCAACTGTCAGGTACTTCATCTAGCCAGGTGAAATTGCCTATTGCCTTGATAGGTGTCAGGTATTTCCACCTAGCAAGGCAATAGGGAAAGCATCCTTCCAGCTGCATCCAAATCTAAAATTAATTCCTCCTTCCAATGTGGTTTTAAATGTATAACAAGGAAATGGTATTTTCCCAGCTAAAAGAACTGAAAGAGCTTGTCTGCCTCTTGGTCTTTCACTTGTAAATAAAGCCAGTGCTTTGACAACCAAGACAAATGTATACCCCGCTTTAGGTAAAAATGAAGAAACTGCCAGAAACACTTAGTGACTGTCAATTTTATTACCTGCCTCCCCCATCTGGAACATTATTTCATTTAGAGCCAAGGTAGAGAGCCAAATTGCATTATTTCTGAAGGATGTGAGTACATTTTAGAAAAGCATCTGTGTGCATTATGTTCCATGAGGCATCATCTCATTTATATTATCCGTGTGTTGATAAGGGCATGGCCAGCATCCTTAGTAGCTACAGAGGTCTTCAAGAAATTGGATGCTACAGGGTCCATACATCAATGTTATGATGTGTTTTTCATGAAATCTGTAAATAAGGTCGACAGAATAGGAATATTTTGGATAACAAGATCTCTAATAGTTCTTGAGGAATGGTCTGCTTCTCCATAAAGTCAATTTATTTATCTTTTTAAAATACTATTACTCATTAAAAAGTCTGATCTATTTGGTGAAAATAAAGCACCCTCCACAGCATATTGAGATAAAGAGGTAGTTACTTTTCCACAAACCAATGAGGAGAAATAAAAGCTGTTAGTGTGATAATTAGTATCTTTATGGTTTCTAGTATTTTATTTTTTGTTGTCACCTAAAACTTTATCTCAAATCCAAGAGACAAGTAACCTGGTCTTCAAAGGAAAGAATGACAGAGAAGAAAGAAAATGATTAGGGTCATGGATGCTAGGATTTAGAGTTCAGTAATGCCATTTTTATAGACACAGTGAAATTGGAAAGTAATCTCCACTTTTCCCCAGACTTCCATCCATTCTGAGTATCAAATGCATGTCAAGGTCCATTATTGTAAGAAGCATCTCGTTGGCTTTTACGTGCTGCTGCTAAGCTTCCTGCTTGTCCAAGGCTGCTCAGGCTAAATCAAGGCACCCAGACCTGCTCATAGGTCCTCTCCTCCCACTGGAAACCAAAAGGCCAAAGTGAGTCTCAGAGACTCAGAAAGAAGAGACTCAGAGACAAAGATGTAAGAAGTAAACCACAGCTCAAAGTAAAGCTGAACATTGTGAGCAGAATTGGGAAGGTTAGAGAATTTGTCACCAGATCTGCTGCTCTTGCATGGGTGCCTTATTTCATTTTTGTGAGTCCGCATCCATAGAACTGCAAGAGAGAAATGATAGTACCTCCGTAAGGGTGAGCATAAGGATGAAATGTTACATCTGCAAAGGGCTTAACAAAGAGCCAGTTCTATGACAGTATTAAATACTGAACCCAAACTGTAAGTACAAATTCTAATCTTTAAATTCTAATCTTCTCACTAGATATAAAGACATTTTTGTGGCTTTACAAGGTGTGATCAAAAATATAAAGAATGCCACTGCTGATCACCCAGCGCAAAGACAAGCTTGTAAAAACATTGCAAAGTGTCCTCATTCACATTGTTCACTGAACCTGGCATCATGCAACTTCTGGCTCTTCCCCAAGGTCAAAATGATCATGAAAGGTAAACATTTTAAATCAATTCAGGACAGTGAGGCAGCCACAAGAGCACAAATAAAGACACTCACGTAAGAGGACTTCCAGAAATGCCTCAGAAGGTGGCATGAACAATGAGATAAATATGTTCAAAGTAAGGCCAGTACTTTGCTTTGTGTCTTTTACTGTAATACATTTTTAAAATTTAAATATTCATTGCATTTTTCTATCACACCCTATATTAGAAAGAAACATGAGTTAAAGATGACAACAGCAACTTTTTAAAGCAACTAAAAAGGTAGGAAAATGCCCTTCTTTATTAAACATATTATTTTCTTACTATTTTTATTCCTAATAGAAGAGTAGACAGTCTATTCCAGATCAATGAGCATCCCCTCAGGCCCAAACACAAGAGCGAAAATGAATCCTGAGTGACAGAGCCTGGAATTTCACTCCCTCCCACCACCTGCTCTTGGGGGTCAACTGTACTGTAGTATGTAATTACCAACCTCATCACTGCCTCTTCACTTCCTCTCTCCCCCATCTAATTGATGGCCTTGACACCAGTGCAGGGTCAGCCCCCTGGAAACACCTTGGGCACAAACCATACCACCCACCAGATGCTGCTCACTCAGAAAGCTAGCAGTGGCCAGAGCCAGGAACTCAATGGTTGGATTTGCTCAGAGTTGAGGAAAAAGTGATAGAGCAAAGAACAAGATTACAAATCCACACGTGGCAGAAAGGAAATTATCCACAGTCTTAGGATGGTCTTGGCTACAGCATTTGTTCCATTCATTCATGTGTCTGTTGGCAATTCTCCAGGTGAAGGACACCTGGGTTCCATTTCTTACCTTTCTTTTAGGGCTTCCTTGTTTTCCTCTGAAATCACCCACAAGCAGTGAAACTGTTGTCCTGTCAAATGATGGAATTGTAGTCCATGGCAATAGATGGTTCACATCTGTCAACAGCTATGAAGAAAGCACTAGAAGTGACACAACAGAATATAAATCACCAGTGAGAACCCAGGATTATGCTTAGGTGCAGGGCCCTAACATGACCTTCCTGAAACAAGAACCAGCCTGGGATCATTTATTCCTGCTCATCTCCGTGCTACAAGAGAACAAAACTGCTAGCTCGCCTTTCCTAGAAACATGTCCCTTCTTTATCCCCAAGCACCCAGTCCCAACTCCCACAGGACACACAGATCCTCTGTGATGTGTCTAATTTCCACTGTAAGCCCCTCTCTATTTCAACCCATTATTGTGTCCAAGCTACAACAGGAAAGAAAACTTCACCTGTAAAATGAGAAAGCATTACACCAACAGTACAGGTTATAAAAGTAAAAATAAATAAATGAAATTACATCAAACTAAAAAGCTTTGGCTAGCAAAGCAAATTACAATGTTAGCCTACGGGTCAGGAAATCAAATTTTCAAACAATACATCTGATAAGAATTTAATGTCCAAAATTTATAAAAAGCTCAGATAACACAATAGTGCAAAATGACTTGATTTTTAAAATGAGCAACAGAGGACTGGGGCTGTGGCTCAGTGGTAGAGTGCTCACCTAGCAAGCATAACACCGGGGTTCTATCATCAGCATGGGGAAAAAAAGGCAAAGAACTTGAACAGGCACTTCTCCAAAGAAGACGTAAAATTAGCCAATGAGTATATGAAAAAAGATGCATGACATCATTTGTCATCAGGAATTGCAAATAAAAACTGGTGTGAGATACCACCTCACATCTATTAAGATGGTTATTATCAAAAAAAATCAAGAGATAGCAAACATTGGCAAAAGTGCAGAGAAAAAGGAAACCCTCATACACTGTTGGTAAGACTATAGATTGATACAGCCATTATAGAAAACAGATGAAGGGTCCTAAAGAAATTAAAAATCCATGTAAGGCAGCAATCCCTCCTCTGGGCACATAGCCAAAGGAAATGAAATTGCCATCTCATAAAGATATCTGATCTTTCATATTTAGTGCAGATATTCACAGTAGCCAAGATATGGAAATAATCTAAGTGTCTATTAGTAGACAAATAGATAAAGAATCTGTGGAATATTATTCACCCTTTAAAAATAAAGTGGTCCTGCTGTTTGCCACAAATGAGTATCCCTGAAGAACACCTTAGCCAAATGAAAAGTAAAATAAACCAGACACAGAAAGTAAAATATTGCATGATCTCATATATAGGTGGACTCAAACAAAAAGCAAAAAACATAGCAATAATGAAGCAATTTCAAAGGACAGAATTGGGGAAGGGGAGTATATAGGAAGGTGTAAGGTCAGAGGACAAAAAGCAGCATATATTTAGAATGAATGAGTCTGAAGATCATTATTATTAATTCAACATGAGGCTTATAAGTAACAGAATTACACTATATTTAGGATTCCTGCTGAATGAGTCGATCTTACCTGCTCTTTCCTCTAAAACAAAAAAGTGGGTAACTAGGTAAGATGATGGATATGTTAATTCGCTTCACTATTATTATCATTTTACTACTTATGAATCCCATAACATAATGTTGTATAGCTTAAATATATACAATAAAATTTATTCCCTTTAAAAAAATATATGGTGCCATAGCTTCTGGTCATTGAGCACCTCTGAAAACAGTCTCATACTATTACCCACAGCTCATTCTATGTATTAACCTAAGCTCAAGAAACACAACCAACCAGGCATGGTGGTGCACACCTGTAATTCCAACACGTGGGAGGCTGAGGCAGGAGGATTGCTGTGAGTTTGAGGCCAGCCTGGGATACAAAGTGAGTTCAAGAACGAGCCAGACTGAACTGCATAGTGAAACCCTGTCTCAAAAAAAAAAGAGAGAAAAACAACTAAACACAGATGCTAAGAGACAGCTCAAAATGAGAGTTTCAAAAGCAAATAGAATATCAAAGAAGATACATGATTCTCATAGCTAAACTTTTGCTTCTGTCACTTGCTCTAGATTAGGAAACAACAAATCTAGCCCTCAGGCTGAATCTGGCCTATTGCCTGTTTTTGTAAATAAAGTTTTATTGAAACACCACTTACCCATTTATGCACCATCTTTTGCTGTGCTGGAACTACAAAGGCAGAGTTGAATAATTATTTCTTATAACTACCACCAAATGACTCACGAAGCCTAAAGCATTTACTATCTGGTTCATTACAGTAAATGTTTGCTGACCTCTGCTCCTTTGGTTGTCCTTACATTACCCAGTTATTGAATTATTGCTAGTGGTAACACTTATTATTTTCCCCACTACTGACTATTTTGGCTTATGACAGAAAAGCTCACATAACCCCATCAAACAAAAATAGAAAACCTGTGAGCACTAGAGCCTGGTTATAAATAGGTAAAAGTTAACAACTGCACATAAGCCAACTAGTCTGACTTCTTTATAAAATCTATAAGACATGAGTTGTATATTTAAATTAAGCCCATCCTATGGTTATTGAGCAAGTGCTTCAAGATCAGAAAGCAAATTAAGATAAAAAGAACTTTGTTCTGTCAAGTAAAAATGCAGAAATGTTATTAAAGATTGTTGCATCCTGGGATCCATTATGCAAAGTCCACAGATAAGAAGATCAAAGAAATCTCTAAGGATTTTCACAACTGGATCCAGAATTTTCTCAATCAAATAAAGTATCAACTATTAAGTGTGTCTTACTCAGAACCCTTTTAATAAGAAGTATATTTAAAAACAAGAGCAAAGTAAAAGATATTTATTTTTTCATGTAATATGCAATGCCTGTTCTAGCATACTTCTCAATTCTGTCCCATGCCTATGGGATGTTTTAGAAGACACTGCTAAACCATCTCAGTGAGTTTGATATGAAGCAGACAAAGTTGCTGCAGAGCTCAGGCTGGTACTCAAGAGGTCTGTAATTCAACTTTATAGCAAACTTACATGTCTACAACTCTTTTAGTCCCCACTCTTTAGAAAGAACTTGACCCAGTTCCCTTTGGTTTAACTAAGGTATTAAAAACTGACAAAGATATGGGCTTCAGCTAAGAAACCTCACTCCTGGGCTGACTCAGATTTTTCCAGTAGTTGGACTGTATACCAAAGGTGTCACATGTCTAATATTGTGAGACTCAAGTGTTAGTCTGCACTGCAGTCCAGATGGCTACACAGATGTCCCAGCCATCTTGACCAAGCCCCTTGGGGTGGTGAGCAAATAACTTTCAACCTCCCCATACTGACTCCAGGCTAGGTTGGGAAAAGCATAATCAGACAGGCAGCACACACCTCCACGCCCATACTCCTCACATATACATACACAGAGTAAACCCACTTGCAATTAAAATACAATTCACATCTGAGATTAAAAGGTAAAGTTCACTCACAAATGAAAAAGATGGGTGCTACAAAGTTCACCTCCCCATCACATGCAGGGCCATTTCTCTGTGCATTTTCCTCACTTTTTTACAATTAAACTATGTCTTATTTATGTATCTGTATTCCTAGCATCTAACATAGTAAGTAGTAAGTAGACGCTCAATAAATACTTTGCATGTGTCCAGTGAATTCATAAATGTTTATTGAACACCTATGTATGACAAGTACTTTATTAAGTCCAATAAAATAAAACAGTAAGACATAACCTGTGTCTTCAACATATCTCAGATTGAGGAGAGCAAATACACAAATAATTACAATGTGTAGTGGTTGTGTTATAGTCAGCATTTCCAGAGTTGGGCATGTAACCCTGTTTTGAGATGTGGGATGTGTGAGTAGATAGGCCTGAGCAAAGCATCCTTTCTGTCTCTGGAAATGTAAATATGTTGTACATCAGGACCATAACAGTCACAGGGTACAGTGAAGAAGAGTTTCTTTTTGACTATTAAATCCATGACAATCACCAGCAGTCACCACTCATTGTAATATGGGCTTGCTTGTTGGAGACCACTACAAAGTGGCTCTGAGCAGGATTTAAAATTAACTAATTGGCTATCAGTCTGCTCTAGGCCTAGGCCCCTTGCCTGGTGACGGGAGCTGATTCATAGTAAGTGAGTCTCCATGAAACAGTGGTCCCAGCTGAGGCCTGTAGTGGCCTGTGAGGTCAGAGATACCTCAAAGGGCAAGGTAAGGCCACAGCTGTGGACAATTGGCTCAGTCATCAATTAAGCAGATAAGAGACTGCAACTGCAGGAATTGCTCCTACTGTCTCACTTCTACCATGTCTTCATGATAAGACATTACTACTGAATTGACTTGATTAATTACTTGGAAACATCCTTGAAGTGACCCTCAAGACCCTGCTCATTGCCTGCACTTTCCTCAATTTCCCCACCCTTTGTTATTAGACCTAATAAAAATGGGTGGTCCAGAGAAGTCTTTGTCTTAGCCCTCTAAGTCTTGAGCTCAGCCAAAGGGTTTTGACCCTCCTGGAGCCCTAAAATCATACCACTTGTCTCATTTCATTTAAGCCTTTGCCATACACTTATTTAGGAGACTGGGATCTAGATAAGGACACAATACTTGCTCTTTTTTTTTTTTTTTTTTTTTTTTTGGTGCTGGGGATCGAACTCATGACCTCGCACTTGCCAGGCAGGCACTTAAGCCACTGAGCTAAAACCCCGATCAATACTTGCTCTTCTAAATCACAGCAATATAACAATAGGCTGTTGGTGTGCAAAAACTTAGCCAAGCAAGATTCCTTGGGTCTTACCTTGCTTTAGGCACACAGCAGTTAAAAATAACGACAAAAGAAAAAAAATCGATTAGTTGATAAGATAGAATCAAAGGATCATAGGATGTTAAGAGTCTATACAAGGGCATTTAAATGTGACTAGAGAATGTTTGATGCCAGATGATGAATGTGGCCAGTTTCATTCTTCTGTTCAATTGATAAAGTGACTGATAGGTCATTTGAGCTTTGCCAGAAGGGAGAGTATCACGGGAAGACTTAGCACACAGTAGTCATCTGATAAATGTGCTTTGAATGAATGTAGGTAAGCATCTGAGGCTGTGGAGAGGAAAACTAGGCCTCAAAATCCAGAAGCTCAAACAACACAGCCACAATGACCTTCTCATCAAGCATCAATCAACACCTAAGTATGTTCTAGGAGCAGTAGAGAAGGCAGAAGAAATTATACCGGGCTCCTGATCTTAGACTCATGCAAACAAGGCTAAGCGTAAGCAGCTTGTGAAAGAGGGAAATCAAAATGAAGAGATGTTCAAACTAATCAATTATCAGGAAACAAATGAAAATATTAATGACAGCTGAGGGAGCATCTCAGTGGTTAGACTGCTTGCCTACCATGCAGGCCCCGGCCTTGATCCCAAACACCACAAAAAAAGAAAATTTATTAATAAGATACTACTTCATGCCAAATAACTACCAAAAAAACTAAACCAAATAATAGCATGAAGTGTTGGCCCAAATTTAAGATACAGAATCCTTCATGCATGGCTAGTGGGAATGAAGACCAGTATGGTCTTACTATGAATAATTTAGCACTTTCTAGTCAAACTAAGTATATGTGCATCATCAGTTCCAGTTCTGGGTACGCATATATCCCAAAGAAATACTCACACAGCTCATAAGAGTCTGTGGATGGGGGCTGGGGATTTAGCTCAGCAGCATAAGCACCTGCCTTGGAAGCCCACAGTTGTGAGTTCGATCCCTGGTACCGATAAAAAAAAAAAAAAAAAAAAAAAAAAAGAGTCTGTGGATGATGACACTCAACACATTTGTGGAGTTTGAGGCAATTAGGATATTCACCTGTGGGGATTGCACAGATACAATATAGAAGGAAAACGTGTAACACATGGTAAACTGTACACACTTGGAAACAACATATTAGATATCCATGTAATAACATGGACAGATCTTGAAAACATACTGATGGTTGAGAAAAATACAAAAGTAAATGAAAGATACAAAACAATTCCATTTTGGAAAATTAAAATGTTTTCTCATAAGATGAGTATAACTGTATAAGAAATCTTCACAAACAAAATGATATTTTTTAGTTTTTATTTATTCATTTTTGGTACCAGGGATCAAACTCACAACCTCATGCTTGCCAGGCAGACACTTATGCCACTGAGCTAAATTCTCAGCCCCAAAATGGTATTTTCAACACATATGACAGTAGTTGCCCCTGGAAGTACGATGAGCAAAGGGACAAATACAGATTTGATTATCTGGAAGTAGGGTGCTGCTATAGGAAATATTTAATATGTTGGGCATACCTTTGGAATGAGTGGTGAGCAAAAAGTTGGAAGGAATTTGAGGAATATGTTGGAGAAAGCCTAATTGTCTTGAACATGCTATAAGGAGAAATCCTGACTTTGGGACTTTTCTGGTAAGGACTCACAAGAGAGTAGGTTATATGGTATTGGAAATTGAAGAAAGAGAACCTTATGCAGTACTAGCAAAAAGCTGAGCAAAACTCACATAGTCATGGTGAAAGGAGGAAAAATGTCCAGTGAGCCAGGAGATCTAGTCAAGGAGTGTTCTAAGGCATTGAAAGTGCTGCTTTATCTCTTTTCGCTACTTACAGTAAAATGCATGAGAAAAAAGGGAAAGGAAGAGATAGAGAGAGAGGCAGGCAGACCAGGTTTTAAAAATGCTCAGCCTTCTTAGGCAGCAAACAACACTAAGAAATGGCTTCCAAGCAAATATCAAATCCAAGCCACTGCTAGGAAAATATATGAAGCTGAAGACATGAATGTAAAAAAAAATTTATGAATGTAAAAATTTTTTCAAGGCCTCAGAAAGATCAAAGATAGTACCTTAGAATCTATACAGTCACATAAATATCCATTTAAAGAGATTAAAAATGTAACTCACAGATCCTTTCCTCAAG